GGTGGGGCTGTGCCCCACCTGCCCCTAATGACCCGCCGCCACTGTATATGACCAGTCCCTCTTTACATACAGGGATACAAACCGGAGGAGCCAGGCATGGGGGGAGGTGGCAGAGACAGTGGGTGAAACTGGTAGGTGTTCGCCTGTTTGGGGAGTTTATATCCAGTGTACTTCGTTTGAATGGACAGCTACAAGCATAGACAGTATATTTAGCCAGCATGGATGTAGCATGAATGCTTTGCTTTGTATGTCCGGCGGGACATTCATGTGATTGGTTGTTGGTCGCGTTGTTCGTAAAAAATCCCCAAGCTTCAGACACGCCCACCGCCAAGCGGTAACGCACGCCGCCGTGTGTCAGTCTGACAGGAGAGAGCTCTCCTCTATGGCGTTATATTTGTGCTTCTATCCTGAGCGCGCACTTGAACAGTTTTGAGCACAGAGAAATATATGTTCTCTCGTAAAACTCCTGCTCCGTGCGCAAGCAGACCGCTGCACGCGCTCTCTCTCCCTCGCTCGCTCGACCTCTCCAGCCTGCGCGCGCTCAGCTTTGCCTGCGCGCGCTCAAGTTGTCACAGCGTTACAAATGTGCCACAAAACCAACCAATTGGAGAACTCGAGAAGGTCAATTCTGATTGGCTGGTCGTCTCCAATCATATCTTCTATCTGAGATGAGAGAGGGATTTTCGGTTGCCATCAGGCTGTGGACGTTCTTATTACACATCCATCGTTGACATTTACAGGACATGACAGACTCGAATGAAGAGAATAGCACGCCACAGTGTCAGGTGAGTTATACCTTTCTAGTTTTCTGATATCACGTTATTGTTTGCAATGCCTGAGTTTGCTATCCGGCAACACAGCTATAGGGGTAGTTTAAGCAAACCGCTAACAAACCGTAGCATACATGTAGCTACATGAACCCTTCTGAGGTATTGATTACTTGCTGTAAGCATTAGAGGTGGCAGAATGACAAAACATGTTTCTCTCTCTATCACAATGTTGGGTTGACCAGAACCTGGACCAACTTCTGTTTGCTGTTCTACAATGGGCATATGCTTGCGTTAATTTTCAACCGGACAGATGAGGCTAGGATACCGGCTAAAGTTAGCAACACACGTTAACCATGAACAGCCTATTAATCCGTTCTCTTAATGTTATTTCTTCCAACGTAGTGGAATTAGAGAAAAGGGGCTTCTTAACGTGCTTTTATCCGGGGTGGAGGGAGTTACATATTAGTTAAATATAACATTGGGGCGTGTGATTGTAGTGGGTGGAGAAATGAGGATATCCATTTTGGAGTTCCAGCTAGTATAATATAGTTAACGTTACACAATAATAAGGAAGAGAGCTATTTGTGTGATACATCGCCATTGATATGGATTTAGAGTGGATATTTAAACTAAAACGTAACTTATGGGTGAGTGTTTTTAGCAGAGCCATATTATGTCTTTGTGATTCTGTTGATTATTACCTGTCTGTATTATATTGCAGCTCAGCTGATTGATTGATTGATTGAAAAGTTTATTAACAGCTTGTATATTGGGTACAGTACAGTACAGCTCAAAACATACAATTGTTAAGGGGATGCAGACCAGAGAAAGACTTTCGTCTTGTTTACATCAGGGTCCCCCATTTCCAATTCATCATATCATTTAAGACATATAAGACATATTTGACATACAGATGGCTTATTTACAATTTACATACAGGTGGTTTTTTACATACAGATTGCTTGTTTACAATTTTCATTTTAGATTTCGTTCTAATACATCCTAACCGGACATTTAAGACATACCAAGTCTACAGATATACAGTTAGTAACAGAGTCTAAAATGCGAGTATAGAACATAGATGGGGGGGGGGGGAAGCTGTCCATTGAACGACAGGTTGAGATTTGTACCATTAACCGGGGCCAGTTTGCAATGCTCTCCCCCGAAGGTGCTCTTTAAGAGAGGTTTTGAAGGTAAGTATAGTTTTACTTTCCTTTACAGTTGTGGGAGAGCGTTCCACCTTGATGTGGCATAATTGCGAAACGTGTATTCCCCCTTTTTTGTGCCAAATCTGGGTTTCACATGATTTGTGGAGCTCCCTCTGGTGTTATGATCATGGTATTCCTTGACCTTTGGGAAGAATTTTGACATGTACATCCAGCTGATGTTGGATTGATGGCAAAGGGAGAGGGACTTAAGTGAGAGCGAAAACACAAAGTAAGTTTAAAATAGGTCAGCAATTTCCCATCCTATAGGTTGCTAGATGTATCTAACCCTTTCTCCTGTCTCCCTCTCTCAGCACAAGAACCCCACGGGGATTCAATGGAGCCTGAAGACCTGCACTGAGACCCTCACCCTGCACCTGAGTCTCACCTCCCAGAGCTTTGCAAGCCTCTCCCTGTTCCTTATTTTTATTAAACAGACATTAAGCTTCCCAATGGTGTGGTCTTCGTTTTGTGAAAAATATGATTACCTCACATATGTTGTTGCTGTTGTTGTCTTTTGTGATAGTTAAATTTCTCCTGTTGACTTGAGCCAGCCATTCTTTCCTCCTCTCTGTGTCAGTGGGGAAACTTTACATTCATACTCCTTTCTCTGAGCGCTTGGAGCATCCCCAGGCAGCACAGAAAACCATGGGGGAGACGATATGCCGGACAACACGGAGGAAAAGGCACAGACAAACTGCATGATATGCTATTCAATGTTTATTGAATTCCATTTATTTACATGGATGTTCCTAAAACAACACATGTATCATCATCATCATGCTGCTGCTGGTAGTCCTTTGATAGGCACCTTCCGGTCTCCTGTCCTTTCTGAAAGTCATAAAGATTACATTAGTACTTTAGATTACTTAGGTCCTCTATTACCAGGGGATTACTGAAACCACCATGAATTGTAGAAATGTATCTAATCAGAATTTTTAAACCTTCCTTCCCACCCTCTAAATATATCAATAAACATTAGGATGTGATGCTTCTGACTCCCATACAAGTTTAAGAAGATAATATTTGTTTTAAAGAATTCAAAGCAATAAACAACAGGCTCTTTAACCAAGGCAACGTTAGCCTAACATGTATGTTAACAGGTAAGATAGCTGTTCACACTATGTATATTTTCTATGTTGTAATGTTATTTCTATTTAAGATGTTTACATTTTCGATTGTTTAATTATAGTCTTTTAACTGTCTAATGTGCAATGCCTCCTTGTCTTTTGCTGCAGCAGCGTAAACATTTCCCCAATTGGTATCAATAAAGTAGGCTACTTCTTATTTTAACTTAATCCTCAAATATTAGCACATTTAAAAAAAAAAACACACACATTGTTGTAACTACACACATATCGATATGTTGTATAAATATTGCAAATCAAAACCTTTATTGACCACTAATTACCAAAAATTGCATTTCTATCCTGTTATTAATCAAAATCAAATCGTGATTCAAATGGCCCACCACGAACTTCCGGGAACTTTCTGAGTCTCTGAACCACGTGACGATCAAGCATTTTGGACTTCCGCTGTCGCAACTCTTCTCTCTACATGGCGCTGGACCAGCCAATCAGAATTGACCTTCTCGAGTTCTCCGATTGGTTGGTTTTGTGGCACATTTGTAACGCTGTGACAACTTGAGCGAGCGCAGGCAAAGCTGAGCGCGCGCAGGCTGGAGAGGTCGAGCGAGCGTGGGAGAGAGAGCGCGTGCAGCGGTCTGCTTGCGCACGCAGCAGGAGTTTTACGAGAGAAAATATATTTCTCTGTGCTCAAAACTGTTCAAGTGCGCGCTCAGGATAGAGGCACAAATATAACGCTATACTCCTCCACCTTCTTATATCCGTTAGCGCAGCTATCACCAGTCAGATGCTAACAACAACAATCCCTGGTACAGGTGCGCCCTCTTTCTCTCGCTCCCACGCTCACTCGCACTTTGGCTGTGAGCTGCGGGCGCCAGATAAGCCAACATCCCCCACTTTCATCACTTACAGCGCCCATCGTACAGGGCAAATGAAAAGTGTAACCGGGGTGAAAAGGGTGTTACATTTACTTAATTATGAATATTGTTACATCAAGGCATAGGCTGTATATATAAAGCATCAAGGCCAAAAATTAGGATGAGCGCCAACGGTCAAAACAAAATGTTTCCCTCCCAGAGCTACCAGCGCAGCGCCCGCCCAGATCTGGCGCCCTTGGAGACCGCCTATGGGAGGGAAACTATATGCAAAAAACCGGCCCTGGTTGCGCTGATAATAAAATGGGTAGAAAAATACAAATGTTTTGTTTCGACAGTAGGACTATATTGTGTTTTTTTATCCCAGCAGCTATTGCACAAATTAACACATCATAGGAGCGTCACATAGATGCCTATTTATTTATTTTTATTTATTTAATTTTGAATGTCCATGTTTGTACTAGTGTTTTCCTTCTTAAAATGTTTTTTTAAATATATTGAGATTTGGTTGAGCAGGGTATACTTGTACTTTTACTAGTCCTTTTATTAGAGATGTGTCTGTTGTTTGTTTTTAGTGTCAGGATGGAACCCTTGTCTTTTTCTCTGCAAACAGAATCTACCTATACGGGTACAAATAAATAACCTGAACCTGAACCTGAACCTTTCTGCACATATTTCTGTAGTGCAGAATTCTGTACATATACAGAACAAAGCCCATCAAATATGTTTTTGGTTGAGCACATCAGTTGGGTGGACAGAACATGGTAGTATGAAAGAAGTGTTCAATTTGGTGCAAGAGTTTGGTTTTGATAAATGTTTATGTAGTTTTGGCTGCAGTTTTTCATCATGCAGGATATATGAGGTGATTTGCACTTTGAGTGTGTGGTTTTGTGAATTGTGTTATGACCTAAGTGTTTTTGGGAAAATAAGCCATGTATTCAAAAACATGCGTAAGCAATTGAAAAAAACTGTAAAAGCCTACATAAAGTGTAGGTGTGCTACTGCTGCTGCAGGGAGGGGGGTAGGGGATGTGGTAACGAGAGGGAAGTTAAAGTAAACAGTCAGTGTGATAATATTTTCAGTGTCAGTGTGAGTCCCACAAATATCAGAGATGGACAAGTTTAAGACTGCTGTGGCCATTGCCCACAAACAGACAAGCATGGGGTTAGGGCTGGTGGCCCTGACAGCTGGGGGGGAGCAGATCTTCTCCGCAGTGGCCTTTAGCTGTCCCTGCAACCAACTCAACTTCTTCTACGGCTTAGTGTTCCTGCTTGTGCCCGCTCTGGCTCTGCTGCTGCTGGGGTTCATCCTCAGTGAGAAGACGTGGAAGGTACTGACGGGCATGTGTCAGGAGCCGCGCCGCTTGAGGAGGCTGTTCACCGCCGGCTCGGTCCTGTGCCGGGTCAGCTGCATCGCACTTGTGGCCCCCTGCAGCTGGATAGCCATGGCTCTGCTCAACGGGAAGTACTATGAATGTGCGATGACCGGGACCAATGTGACCGCTTACATCAAGCACCTGTGTGGAGACAAGAATTTGGACCAGTGTCAGCAGGAGCTGAGCAGCTTGCCCTGCCTGGGGCCGAAGGAGGACCGGCAGCGGGTCCTGATGACTCTCAGAGCCGATTCCCAGGTCAGTGCACACCTCCACACATTGTATAGCAAGTATAGCCTGCACTGTGATGAAGTGAAATCAAGTCTAAATCAAGTTGTCTGAAGAGTAGACAGCATCACTTGATTTAGATGCGTGTCATAATAACACGTGCCAAGGACAACTGCAATATAAAGTAAATAAAGTTACAATTTCAGAGGACCCGCATATGTCATATCGAACAGAACGGTGAGCTTGCTTTAGACCTTTTAGATAAAAAAACTAACATTTGCCCTCGCTCAAACGTCACAAAAAGAAGAATGGATGAAATGCCACCTGCAAAACAGTATTCTGATGCTGTGCTGGCAGATGTGTATCTGACCCTTCGAGATTTGACACAGAAAGACCTCTTTTCAGGGTTTTCTGTGTAAACATTTAAAGTTATTTTTAATGATTCAAAATGCACTGACGTTAATTTTTTTATTTTTCAACTTTATAATAGATTTACCTTAAAAAACGGTGCCCTTCCTTTTCTGTGCAAAAGTCATGTTTTCAAATCACAAGCGTAGGTATACTGTGCAAGTGAAATCATATGGCTGACAGATGCTAACAGTCCCTCAGTATAACATGAAGACCAATCTTGCTGGGCCATTAACATACAAAGTTGCATAAAACATTGTTTTTGTTGTTGCTTTATTTTCTTTCAGCTTTTAATGGGTAAAAAGTGATTTTATAGCTATCTCTTATTCCATCCTGTGTGGCCATAGATTCTGGGATGGCTGCTCATCGCCTCCATCATGTTGTCCAACCTGCTAATGATCTGCATGGCTCGGTGCACATCCCCCATCAGCTACCTGCAGCTCAAGTTCTGGAGAACGTATGTTCAAGAGGAGAGCAACCTGATGGATTCATACAGCTCTAAACACGCCAAAGAGCTCGCTGAGAGGAACCTGAAGAGCTTCTTCAACCAAGAACCGCCTGAAGACATCAGCACACCTTCCAACAGGGCCTGGAAGAAGATCTCCTCGCTCTACAAGTTCAGCACCAAAGACCATTACTACAGCACCATTCACCGCTATGTGGAGGAAAGTTGTGACAATGACATGATGAAGATCGCTTCGGTCAAGTCCAGCGGGACTGCTGACAACATCCCAGCTGCTCTTGGTTTTGTAGACGATGTCAGGATGGCGTTGTGACAAACATTTTCAGCACCAAAGCCCATCTGCAGGGATACACCAGCTGAGGGATCCTGCTGAACATGATGTCAGTGAACTGCTTATAGTTTATAGTGTAAAACAATATGCTCTAAGAGGAGAATGCATTAGCTTAAATAGTAGAGATTTGGAGAAAAAATGCCATATATTTCTATATACCATTTTTAACGTGGACAATATGTGAGATATGAACCCTATCACCAAGATAGTCATCATCAACATCTCCATCATTACATTACATTGCATTTAGCTGATCCAAAGCGACTTACATTCGACCAGGAAGACACAAACTTGAAGAAAACAGAATCATATAAGTATATCAGGTTTCATAGAGCCAAAACATTTCAAGTGCTACTCAACTGGCTTTAGATAAGCCAGTCCTTTATTAGTATATAAGTGCTTTGTTAATAGTTCTTTGTTAGTAATTATATCGCTCGAGGTGGAGTCGAAAGAGATATATACAATTTTTAACATGGACAATATGTGAGATGAACCCTATCACCAAGATAGTCATCATCAACATCTCCATCATCATCATCATCATCATCGAACGTGAATGTTTCATCCACATTTATAAAAAACCCAAATTGTTGAGAACAATAAGGACACCTGGTTTTAAGTCAAACTCAATAAAGGAATATGCTATAGATGTAGAAATATAGATACATGACACCAATGAAACATGAACAGCAGCACAGTCAGGCAGAGTGTAAAGCAAGAGATTTGTGTGAGCTTTATAGAACAGGAAATGTGTCAACCTCACCACCGGACTACTTCCTGTTCTTCGCTTGCAGAATAAGCATGTGGCTGGGAAGTGGGCATCTACCAATCATTATGTTGATGGCTCCATCCCTAGCCCCTGAAGTCCTACTTAAGGCCAGCGGTGTGTGTGTGTGTGTGTGTGTGTGTATGGCAGCCTCTGCCCATGAATCTGAATGGGTTAAAGCTACATATGTAAAAGTGCTGAAATGGGTCACAAAGAGTGGACAGTCTATTTAAATACAGTCAATTTAAAGAGACCCATGTGGGTTTTTACCTTTCCTGTAGTTACATAGGTTTCTGTGCATGTTAATGGTAAAATCCCTGTGATCTAGAGGGAGTTTTTCTCCCAAACAGTCCCCCCTCACCCCCTCCCCCCTCCCTGAAATGCCTTCATTGGACGACTTTGTTTACTTCCGTTACATAATGACATCACTATGTAACATTTGTGCTTCTATTGGCAAGTGCTCCAACACATTGACCAATCACAACAGAGCTGGCCAGCTAACCAATCAGAGCAGACTGGGCTCTGGTTTCAGACAGAGGGTGAAAAGAGCACAGGCAGTATGAGAAAAATAAAGAGCTTTTTGAACATGAAAGCATGGAGACATGTCCCAGTAGAGACACTACATACATATGAACCTGAAAATGAGTGTAATAGGGCCCCTTTAACACGAATGCATGTTATATACATGCACATGCACCCAATCAGCATATAAGCATCAGGCATTGTACAGACTAGTGTTGCTGTAATGGCAGCAGATAATGATGTGGAAGGGTTTTCCTGTGAAGCACTCACAGGGATTGAGTCTCTCTAATGGAAATGGAACAGAAACCACCAAGAAGATGTGATCCCTTCCTCTGTGCACTGCTGCTGATGCTGACTGCTGCTCTGCCTCTGCAACGTATGGTATGTTCTAGAATCTAGATGGAAACATTCAAAAGCATGGATATGCTCTTATTCAGTATGACTTTCTGCGTGTAGGCTATACTTTCCCCCTGTGCACATTTTGTCATCCCTCATACAATTGGTTGATTTCATGCTTGTTGAATGCACTCTGCTGTCAGTGGAACTGAGGTTTGTTTGTGTGTGCTTGAAGAGAAACAAATCAAGTTGCCCTTCATTTCCTTTGTATACGAATGATTGACTGCTTTGTATTAAAGTGAGTGGAAACAGTTCCTCTGGTGTGTGTTCATTTCTGTTTTGCTTCAGGCTGCATTCCCGTCACTGTCACACGACACAGACAGGTGGTTATAAAACGAGAACAGCAGGACTTAGAGCTGTTGAGGGAAGCGTTTAAAGAGGAATATATACATGAACAGAGAAGGAGAAGTAGAGTGAAGCTGTAACTGTACAACTGGGACTGTGCCTTTGTTTTTAGTGACAGTAAAGCAGGGACTTCCCTTTGGAGAAGAGGTATGTGGTGAGTAAAGTGAAATACTGTAGGGAGGGGGCTAACTGAAGGAGGAGTCTGGAGAGAGGCAGCTAAAGGGAAGGGCAGGGACAGGCTTGTCTTCAACTGAGAAAGGAAATAACAACTCTTTCACACTGTCCACATCTCGTGGAGTGTGCCATTCCCGCTGACACCATGGATAACTTCCAGACCGTCCTGCGGTTCTTCATGAACCAGAAGGCCACCATTGGCTACAGCTTCATGGCTCTGTTGACTATAGGCGGGGAGCGTGTTTTCTCCATGGTTTCCTTTCAGTGTCCGTGCAACCATGATCAGAACTTTGCCTATGGGCTGACTTTCCTGTTGGGCCCGGCTGGCGTGCTGCTGATTTTAGGTCTCTTCTTCAGCACCAGGCTGTGGAGGCTGTATACCGGCTGCTGCCTGAACCCCATGAAGCTGTGCCCCCGGGGGAACTGCTTTAGCTCACTCAGGGTTTTTATGAATATCTTCAGTGGAGCCTGTGTGGCTCCTATTATGTGGCTCTGTGTGGCCCTGCTCAATGGGACCTTTTATGAGTGTGCTGTCAGCGGTCTGGACGATAACCTGGTGGTGGATCTGTTCTGTAAAAACAAGACTCTGAGGTGTCGGGAGGAGCTGGCCCGGGTGCCCTGTGACCGCTCCAAACTTACTGCTGATGAGCGGATGGAGCTGCTGCTCATGTTCCGAGCCCAGTCACAGGTGAGCAGTGTTGGGTGTAACGCATTACAAAAGTAACGGAGTTACAGTAATATATTACTTTTTGCTGTAACAAAGTAATGTAACGCATTACTTATGAAATGTGGGTAATATATTACCCGTTACAATGCTCAGTAACGCAGTTACAACACATTTTAACCCGAAATTAAATGGTGTTTTGTTTTTTAAGAATGTACTAACATAGCGAGACATTCTGACACCAGAGACAAATTGTGCGGGTAGATTAGTAAACTTGGTGTGTTTACCCTTCAGGCTTCGCGTCGGGATCTTCGGGCAGTTGAATGTTATGCACCCTCTATTCAAAAAAGAGAATGGAGCGAAAAATACAAACAACAAATTATGTCAGGTGCGCGTGACCTGCTCCGCTGCGCGTGCATCATTTCCAAAGTGCTTCCACAGCAGTGACACACATCTGTGGATAATCATTTATACGAAAATGGTTAAAGCAACCATCACTAAACGCCAGCAACACTGCATCTACTGCAGACAGTAGCAACAGGTCAGATGGGGACATCACGTCGTTACCCTCAGCTGTGGACATTAGCTTTACTCCCGCCCTCGCCCCCGGAGCAGCAGTCTTCGACTGCGGTCAAGCCAGCCTCCACTCGGGAAAACCTAGTCAAGCCAGCCCGCACGTGATATTGCGGTGCGCGAATATCCTATGCATTACGGTAGAGTCCTGGAAACACTGCCTTCAAAATAAAAGCACTTACTCGGTCAATAACATATACACCAAAATAACATACCAAACATATTAAATTAAGAAATATGTACTTTATAATGTGATCAATAATTATTTAAAACAAACTACGTATAACTACCACATTATAAATGAGTGAATGTAAAACTTAAGGAGTTTCAAAATAAAAGACCTTTGAAATATCTATTGTATGACCTATCATCCCTCTGTTTTTAGATGAGAATAAAACAAAAACTGTCCAGTATCAAAGACTCATCTCACTCCAGGGTGATAGCAGGACATCCCATCTAGTCACTTAGAAAAAATCAGGACATTCTGATGTACATTTTCAAAATAAAAGACCTTTGAAGTCTCATATATGAGCTATCATCCCTCTTTGTTTAGATGAGAATAAAACAAAAACTGTCCAGTATCAAAGACTCATTTCACTTCAGGGTGATAGCAGGACATCCCATCTAGTCACTCGGAAAAAATCAGGACATTCTGATGTAGAGTTTCAAAATAAAAGACCTTTGAAGTCTCATATATGAGCTATCATCCCTGTTTTTAGATGAGAATAAAACAAAAACTGTCCAGTATCAAAGACTCATTTAACTTCAGGGTGATAGCAGGACATCCCATCTAGTCACTTAGAAAACATCAGGACATTCTGATGTAGAGTGTAAAAAAAAAAGACATTTGAAGTCTCATATATGAGCTATCATCCCTCTGTGTTTAGATGAGAATAAAACAAAAACTGTCCAGTATCAAAGACTCATCTCACTCCAGGGTGATAGCAGGACATCCCATCTAGTCACTCAGAAAATATCAGGACATTCTGATGTAGAGTTTCAAAATAAAAGACATTTGAATTCTCATATATGAGCTATCATCCCTCTGTGTTTAGATGAGAATAAAACAAAATCTGTCCAATATCAAAGACTCATTTCACTTCAGGGTGATAGCAGGACACCCCATCTAGTCACTTAGAAAAAATCAGGACAATCTGATGTAGAGATGCACGATGCACGATGTAAGTACAATGTAGCAGACGGATCAAACAAAGTATGGTGCTGGGAGAGATTTCAAAGGTATTTTATTTTGAAACTTTACATCAGAATGTCGTGCTTTTTTCTAAGTGATGGGGTGTCCTGCTATCACCCTGAAGTGAAATGAGTCTTTGATACTGGACAGTTTTTATTTTATTCTCATCTAAACACAGAGGGATGATAGCTCATATATGAGACTTCAAAGGCAAGGCAAGTTTATTTATATAGCACTTTTCAACACAAGGCAATTCAAAGTGCTTTACAAAAAATGAAAGACATTAAGAAAAAGGCATTTAAAATCAGTCATTAAAAAGAAAAGCTAATATAAGAAACATTAAAAGAAAAAATACATGGATAAAAGTTACAGTGCAGTCTAAGATATGAATAGTTCAATTAAACATTAAAAGAAAAAGTACATGGATAAAAGTTACAGTGCAGTCTAAGATATGAATAGTTCAATTAAAAGCAGCGACAAAAAGAAAAGTCTTCAGCCTGGATTTAAAAGTAGTCAGAGTTGCAGCGGACCTGCAGGTTTCTGGGAGTTTGTTCCAGATATTTGGAGCATAATAACTAGGGATGGGTATCGTTTGAAATTTATCGATTCCGATTTCGATTCCGGTTCTGCTTATCGATTCCGGTTCTTATCGATTCCCCGTTTCGATTCCAAAATTGTAAAATAAAGAGGTCAAACGTTTAGATAACAAAAATATATTTATTCTTAAAAGCTTTAACTGAAATTGTTACTAAAAAATATACATGCAATACAAATGTATTGCACAATAGCTGTGCTTTATTTTAACTGAGCTATGCCTGTGGCAAGCTATTAACAGGCATTACACTTTGCCTTTTCTTTTTCTTTTTTAGTGTAGTGGAGCATCACTTCAGAGTGTTTACCGCGACCTATCTTTGGTGTTATGAAGTGACTGAGCTCGTGAAATGTCTACGGGAGGGCGGGGGAGCATCGCTGCGGGGCAACTGTGGACCTCTGTCGCCTGTCAGCGCAATTTATATGATGCGGTTTAAAAAAATGAAGGGCGGTGCCGGCCGTTCTGTGATTCTCCAGGTCCGCCCTGTATTCCACCGGGTCACCGCAGCACCGCGGTGCAGACGGACCCGCTGGAATACAGGGTCTACCGCGTTTAGGAACCGTTAAGCAGAACCGAAATTGTGTATTTTGTATGGGTACCCGGTACCCGGCATTTTCTTATCGGTTCTCATCTGGAACCGAGTTTCGGTTCCCAACCCTAATAATAACTGAATGCTGCTTTACCATGTTTAGTTCTCACTCTGGGGACAGAAAGCTGACCAGTCTTTTATTTTGAAACTGTACATCAGAATGTCATGATTTTTTCTAAGTGACTAGGTGGGATGTCCTGCTATCACCCTGGAGTGAGATGAGTCTTTGATACTGGACAGTTTTTGTTTTATTCTCATCTAAAAACAGAGGGATGATAGGTCATACAATAGATATTTCAAAGGTCTTTTATTTTGAAACTCCTTAAGTTTTACATTCACTCATTTATAATGTGGTAGTTATACGTAGTTTGTTTTAAATAATTATTGATCACATTATATAGTACATATTTCTTAATTTAATATGTTTGGTATGTTATTTTGGTGTATATGTTATTGACCGAGTAAGTGCTTTTATTTTGAAGGCAGTGTTTCCAGGACTCTACCGTAATGCATAGGATATTCGCGCACCGCAATATCACGTGCGGGCTGGCTTGACTAGGTTTTCCCGAGTGGAGGCTGGCTTGACCGCAGTAGTCTTCGTCGCCCGAAACTACGCCGGCCCCTCTGCGGCCAGCAGGTGCCAGGATACCACGGCAAAACAGAGCCTGCCCAGGTATATCTAAACAAGTACCCGCCTGTACAGTGGGGTTAGGCGGTCATTTTGCAGCTCGTGGTATAAAAATAGACAATGGCTAGAATATTCATGTGAAAATAGTGCCATATTCTGCCATGCCTGTAGAAATGTTGGGTCACACATAATGCATACAATAGCACAGATGCCTTCACCACGAATGGCTACAAAAATATCTCATATCCCAAGCTTATCAACAAGCTAATGTTGCAGCTGAAATGTTCTCCAGGTCACAAAGTCAACCTCACATGATGATGTGATACCAGTTTTCACGCACAGTACATATTCTCTTCCCAGAGTATATGATGGGACCAAGGTGATGATTTAGTACATGGTTTTAATAATACTTTTGCTTTTCAATGTTTGCCATTTCAAACCATGAGCTGGTTCAAATCATATTTGCCTTGATTTACAATATCTTCTCATTTGTTTTATCAATACAGTTTTGAAGCTTTTGTGCTTTTCTTTGCTATAGTCCACTTTGGACTATATGAAATATTTCAGGATTGCACTTTTAACTCACTTGAAATGTTCTCACTTGCTTGGTTTCAAAACATAACAAATGGCATAATCTGTTCATTGGGGACCATCAATGCTATTTTTCATTGCTGTTGCCGCCACTATTGCTCTTGTAAACCTACTACTGCTGCGCCCCCTGTAATCTCAGAGGCACCCTGAGTCATTTTGTTCTGGAGCTGGGCCTGTACACGGCCATATACTAAACAAACTACAGAGCTCATTCCGTGTCCTGTTAGTGTTTACTTCCTCTCTGCCTTCTTCTGGTGATTTATCTGACGTCCAGCGCTCCGTCTTTTAACCTCTTTTCCTTTCTCTTTCTTGATCATCCTTAGCAACCTTCATTATAGTCCTTGACAGTGGTCCGTACTGGATTAATAACATGTCACATGTTAAGAATTTACAATCAGAATCGAGTATTCAACTAAGCCGTGTAATACAAGTTGTTAGTAGCCTTAAGGGCCTACACAGTTGTTATGCTATACCACATTGCCCTTCACTGGATGTATAATGAGCTGCACTAAACTACATTTTAGCATTTAAAATACCTAGCCATTCTTTTGCGGTTATTTTGGTGAAAGTAACTAAAAAGTAACTAAAGTAGTGTAACTCATTACATTTCAGAGACAGTAATATTGTAATGTAACTTATTACTTTCAAAAGACAGTAATATGTAATATGTAATATATTACATTTTGGAAGTAACTTGCCCAACACTGCAGGTGCTGGCTGTAGCCCCTACAGAGATCACCCTGATGATATTGCTATGACATCATAGGGGAGGCCGATAGGGGAAGCTGATGCGTGAGGCTCAAACTGGAAGAAGATGTTGAGTGTTCATTACTAGGGCCGGTCCTAGACATTTTGGTGCCCTAGCCGAGATTATGATTTGGTGCCCCCCCCCACCCTCCTCCAAGCAATACACAATAGAATATATAAAGAATAAATGAAAAATCTCTTCAAAAGACCAATACACTACAAAAACTGAAACGTATTGACATGTTGGTTATATACATAAAGAAGGTTTCAAATGTATTCATTATTGTAGGGGGTTTCTCTCCCACATACCACATCACTGAAATGCCTCTATTGGACTCCTTTGTTTACTTCCATAACATAGTGACATCACTATGTTACATTCGTGCTCCATTAGCTAGCACTCCAACACATTGTATGTGAAAGGCTAAGGGACGGGACACCTTTAAGCGGTTGACCAATCACAACAGACCAATCACAACAGACCAATCACCAATCCTAGCAGACCGGGCTCTGGTTTCAGACAGAGGGTGAACAGAGGGGCTGCAGCACAGGCAGTATGAGAAAAATAAAGACCTTTTTGAAAATTAAAGCATGGAAAATTGTCACAGTAGAGACACAATCTAAGGCAGGGGTGCCCAACCAGTCGATCGCGATCGACCGGTCGATCGCGGGGAGATTCCCAGTCAATCGCGAGATGTGTCTAAAAATAGAACAACAATATTCTGTTTTATCGTTAATGTCCTATAACATTATCTTCCTGTGCCCGAATAATGCACTTGAACGCATCAAGGCTTTGTGATTGGACGGTGTGACGGGGCGTGGCTGGTGGACAGTGGGCACTATTTGGCTGACGTTGTCCGTGTCAACAGGAGTGACAGTCCGCACACACACAAGACCGCAATTATGGCAGAAGCAAAAAAGCCCAGCAACATATATGATTTTCACTCCGAGTGGGAGGATGATTATTTTTGTATCTATTCCAATTCAAAGTCCATCTGTCTCATCTGCAATGCGAGCGTGGCTTTATCGAAGAAGGGTAATTTAGGAGCGGCATTTCAAAACAGTGCACAAACGCTACGAGACGGAATTCCCTCCTAATTCTGCCCTACACTCCAAAAGGGGAGGGGCCTGAAAGGACAGCTAAATGCACAGCAGTCCATTTTCACCAGGCCCAACAACAAGAGCAAGGCTGCTACCATCGCATTTTATCATGTCAGTCACGTTCTTGCGAAACACATGAAGTCTTTCAAAGACGGCGAAGTTGTGAAATAAGCTTTCCTGGAGGAGCTTTTGGGGGACAATAAAAATAACAGTAGCATTTCAACAGGTTTTTGATATAATAAAATCTCAAGTTAGATACTGTTATTAATCATCTGTAAGTTTTAGTTTGTTTGAACTTATTCATTATAATTATTGTACAAAATGGTATAAGAATGCAAACTTAAATTGATTATAGTCTATTATCAATTCAGGTTAAGAAACTAGTGTTGCTTGCATCCTATTTTTAAGGCATTTATTTTTATACTCTACTAAAATGCAACAAAAAAAGGGTTTGATTCTATTAATGTTGTCTTTTTTATTGCACTTTGGCAGTAGGTTCCTGTGTAGCTTCAGATCTGAGTTGTCTTATTAGTAAGCATAATTTATACTTTTGTAGCAACACTATTTTTATATAATGGCAAAGAAAGGGTTCAGAGTCTTTCCTTTTTTCCTGTGTCATATGTGGCAGCACTGTTCAATGTTTCTTGAAAACATTACCCACTGTAGTGTGACGTGTGAATAAACTCCAACCCTGTATCAACAACACTGTTGTGTAACTTCAGTTAAATACTTGTGTGTAGATTAGAAAGAGGTAAGATAAAGGATCTGCAGTATTTTATAAAGTATTCATCGTACAAAGGTCAGTTTTATACAAGTAGAAGTGTGTATTTACCTGGTAGTAGGCTGTCAGTAATGGCTACGCCTCTCTATTTGGACTGGTAGATCTCGGCAGACTGGCAACTTTAAAAGTAGCTCTCGGTTCAAAAAAGGTTGGGCACCCCTGATCTAAGGTGATGTTAGAAGTGGAACTATTTGTCATGTATTTTGTATTCATTTCATAGTGTTGAGTGTGCATTGTTTATCTCTGTCTACAGATCCTCGGTTGGTGCATCATCATAATTTCTGCATTCGTGGGCCTACTGGGTACCTGCTACACAAACTGTCGCTCCAAAGTCAGCTACCTGCAGCTCACATTCTGGAAACGCTATGTGGAGAAAGAGAAGGAGTGCTTCGATACCTTTGCTGCGGATTACGCAAACAAACTGGCCGAAAGAAACCTGCATAGCTTCTTCGGGAACAACGACCCTGCTCCGTTCCCTTTCCCCAATCACAGGGCATGGGAGGAGATCTCTGCACTGCACACCTTCTCCAGGAGCGAGCAGTATTACAGCACCCTGCAGCGCTACGTGGAGAGGACAGACAGGGACTTCACGCCAGAGAAGAGACCTGTGTTGGACGTTGAGCATGGAATAGAAATGCACTGACTGTGGGGACAATGTTAGCTAATAACCACTGTTTGTATTTAACTCTCAGTTTATTGTATGTGTGGTCTGACTCAGGAAAAGCTTCCTCCTCACTGAGAATGCTGCCACTTACTTTGTTGCACAAAACAATGTGACCAAATTGCAATGGTACTATATCTTCCATAAACACATGAAGGGCATAACCACTATCGTATAGTCGCTATTTCACACTGCATGCATGTGAGGTGTTCTATTTCAATCTAATAAACACACTTACAGGAACATCGGAAAACACTGAGGTCATGTCCTGGCAGGGTTCGGAGTTTTTTATTTATTTATGTCTTCTGTTACAACTACTGTAACAAATATATAATCAGTAACCTAATCGGAGCATCACAATATAAAAGTAATGCAACTTTCTGTCACTTTTTTAATACCTCAATATCAAATGCAATGCAAATAAATACGTGAGAAATTATGTTTTTTGTAAGAAGTGTATGTAAGACAACAGAATAATGTAACCTTAGAAAATAAGTAACCAAGATATTTAGTATAAAAAATGATTGTATTTACAGAAAAACCTGCCTTTCATTCAGCATATTCAGGCAGTGGCCTATACATCAACAATGAAACAAAATTCAAGACTGCCTCAATGACTTAAAAACGTGGATGACTTTAAACTTTTTGATGTTAAACACGGCCAAAACTGAAGTTATTGTACTCGGCCCAAAGAATCTACGAAACAAATTATCTAAAGATATACTAACTATGGATGACATTAATTTGGCCTCCAGTGAGACTGTAAGGATCCTTGGTGTTATATTCGATCAGGATTTATCCTTTAACGCCCACATAAAATCAATCTCAAGGACTGCCTTCTTTCATCTACGTAACATAGCAAAAATCAGGCATATCTTGATGCAGAGAAACTAGTCCATGCATTTGTTACCTCAAGGCTGGATTATTGTAACTCTTTATTATCAGGGTGTACCAAGAAGTCAGTTAAGTCGCTTCAGCTGATTCAAAATGCTGCAGCACATGTACTAACCAGAGTTAAGAAAAGGGACCACATTACTCCTGTTCTGGCTGCCTTACACTGGCTCCCTATAGAACACAGGATAGAATTTAAAATGATTCTTCTCGCCTACAAAGCCCTTAATGGGCAGGCGCCATCTTACCTTAAATAACTCATTATACCCTATCCAGGGGTGCCGCCAGGGATTTTGGGCCCCATGAAAATATATCACATTATTGAATGCATAAAGCCAAATAAATATAACTTAAATATGTGGGAAAATACTGTGTTTGAAATGTACAATTGAAATGAGATGTTACCTTTTTGTTTTGATATATATATATATATATATTTTGTATTCCAGTCTCCCTTCAGATATGTTAAGTGGCATGGCATGGCAACACAATGCTGCTCACCTCCTTCAGTTGGGAGAAAAGCTGGTTCAGCCTTATGGGGGGGACAGGGCTTATTAAATGTCAGCTAAAAGAGCAGTGAAATTAAAAACCTCTGAATTTGCTGTGAAGATTTTAACAGTAGGCTACGTACTTAATGTCAGCTTAGCAGCGACGTGCAGTCAGGGGAGGGCCGGCAGAGCCTCATCTGTCATACTCCAATGTAACGGAAAAACAACTAAAGAAAAACTAAATAGTAATAATAATAAAATGTCTCCACTGATCTGTGTTGTAAGTGTGATTTCTGTATGATTCCAATCGCTTTTTATAGTCAAAATCAGCAAATTTGCCGAGCTCCGCTACAACTACGGGTAGCGATGAGAAGTGAGGCAGGGACGAGCTCAGCCTCTCGTAAGCCCACAGTAACTGGCTGGAGCGCGGGCACTAATTTAGCGCGGGCACTTATTTTGTGAGCGCGCTCAAGCCAGTTACTGTGGGGTGAGGTGAGGCACAGATGAGATCTGCCTCACCTCAGAATGCGTCACCCCACAGAAACTGGCTGGAAAGCGGGCCCTAAGCGCATGCCTGCACCATCTCACTGTATGTCACCAATGTAATGTTTGTAGATCCCTTTATTACATTTATCCTCGCCATCCATAGTCTCTAAATAACTTATTTCACGTATATATGATATTTAGGCTCGCTGGTCTCATCATACAACGACAATGAAAAAAGCACCAGGGGAGGCAGCCATAACCTCTTCCGCACTGAAGGGGGAAAAGTGAGCCCACAGGTTCTTGTTGCTACTGTTATTCTACGCAGGGACGGTAGACGCGAACAACAAACTAGACTTTTGAAACTACAGGAAGATAAGGAGGACTTTACAAAAAAGTAATAGAGATTGTTGTCCAGAAGGATAGCATGGACTTCATCTTCAAGTCAAGGTAAGACCACAATTGTAATGCAAATGGAATCTTACTAAGAAAGAACAATCCAATATTTAAATTGTGGGTAGGCCTATCCTTTTGTTGAACGGTCTGTTTAAAATGAATTGAAGCATCAGACTAAAAAAGCTTTTGAAAATAACCGAATATTTCGATTAAGGTCAAAATATAATATTTGTAAATCTGACTCTGAAAGAGTCAGTGCCTCACCAGCCATGAACCTCACCGCACGCAGCTTAGTCAATTATTATTTACAATGGACTACGCTTAGCTAACAGTCTCATTTCCACCAATCATGGACACCCACCTTTTCTTTAGAAAAACTGGGTGACATAATGTCGCCCTTTAGTCCCTCTCTCTTTTCGTTCTCTCCTTTCTCTTCTTTTTTGAAAGGCTGACTTTGTTAGTCGTTGAGACATGGATGGTCGATGGCCCTCTAGTCCCTCTCTCTTGTCTTTCTCTCCTTTCTTTTCTTTTTTTAAAGCCTGACTTTGTTAGTCGTTGAGACATGGATCGTACACACGTAAGTAGCCTACTAGCATCCCTCCTCACATGCTCTCACTCTCTGCTAGAAAGTGCCGGTGCTGCACGTGTTTGGAGGCAGGACCAAACCATTACATGTAAATAGAAGGGGGTGTACAGAGGCTTTGGACAGTTACATTTTGGAAGAAAATAAGTTAAACTGATCGTAGGTTTAGTGAGTACATCAATATAACATTCTATTAATGTTAATTATTGATGAATGATGAAAGATTACTTAAACATTTTTTTCTTAATGTTCTAAAATTGTTCGGGCCCCTGTCAGTCACAGGCCCTTAGAATCGCCCTAACTTTTCACCCCCTTACAGCGCCCCTGACCCTATCAGTGCCGGCCCCAGAGTATTTTTGTTGGGTAATCTATGGTAGGGCCAACCCATAGAGTGGCGAAGTCACGCCCATCTACTTCCGGTCCATGGGACCTTATTTCGGAAAAATTATGTATTGAAGTCAATGGAGAGAAAACGTATCTTTCAATCCCGTTTGAATTGTGCCATGAATTACACATGATGTTTGTCAATCTTAAAAAATTATTTCCATGTCAAAAAAGTCACAGTTTGTCGTAAAACTGTTGAAATATAACACTATGAAAAATATGCAACTAGAAAAACTACAAATCCCAGTGTCGCGTAAGTGATGTCACAATTGTTTTCCTCCACTAAGATATAGCTAAGATCAGCGCCATATAGATATAATCTATCTATATGGCCAGTGGCGACTGGTCATTAGGGGCAGGTGGGGCACAGCCCCACCTAGTGTCAGCAGAAAGTATTAAAAATAATGATTCCAAAAAAATGCAAAAAATAAATAAATATATATATAAAATATATTTTAAGATCATGTTTAATCATCTGATTCGTCTGTACATTGCTGTTTTAGTCTGTGTTCTTCTAATTAGTGTCTACAGTGTGTGCCTATTGAGCTGTTTAGAGCCATGTGGGACAAAACCCGATCCTGCCCCTCCCTCTCCCTGTTTAAGTCAATGGTGACCGTAAAAACTACACTGCGCATGCTCAGAGTATTGTCCTATTTAATGTGTGTGGCAAAAAAATAATGACCATACGTCATCTCACATAATTCAGAGCTGATTGGCTGTAAGTACGTGTGCCGCGAAAAGTGTGGTGTGTGAAGAGGAGACGAGAGAGCTGCAGTGACGCATCCTAAAACCCGGAAGTAAACTGCGCATGGCTTCCCTCGACAAAAAAGCAATGATATTTCTCCATAGGATTTTAGAAAATAGCTAAAAATAAGATCTGTGGGAAACAAACCTGTTAGATAAATGCACGTTTTGTTCAGCCGGATAATATCCACATGTCTACCCTACTTTTATAATTTTCGAATCATAAATCTATTGATTAGATTAGATTTATGATAGACTTTTGAAACTACAAGAAGATAAGGAGGACTTTTACAAAAAAGTAATAGAGATTTTTGTCCAGAAGGATAGGCAAATGGACTTCATCTTCATGTCAAGGTAAGACTGCAATGTTATTGAAAATGGGATCTTACTAAGAGAGAACAATTCAATATTTAAATGATACAATTACATTTTTTGGGTAACCTTTTGTTGAACTGTCTGTTTAAAATTAATTAAGCTTTTGAAAATATTATATTTTTGATTTAGGTCAAAATATAATATTTGTAAACCTGAAGAGTCAGTGCCAGTGCCTCACCAGCCATGAACCTCACTGCAGAAGCTTATATATAGACATCTACTTTTTTTGTGCCCCACCACTTTTGTACATATAAAAACGCCACTGTATATGGCGCTGGCTAAGATAAGATAACTTTAACAAGATGCCTGTGTGCTTAGTACCAGGTCGTTATCATACCAGCACTGGGTCTTGCTCATTCTTTCGCTTCCCGTCTGATGAAAGGACCAGGAGTGAGATCAAGTTAGCTGCCTAGCTAGTAGCTAGCACGTTAGTTAGCATTACAGCCTTGTAATTGTTATTAGCCTTAATATGAAGTAACATTAAGTAACCCAAAAATGTTAAACAGTAAGAGTAGTAGTCATATTTCGTGAACCCTTTGAAAAGTACTGTCACCGGTGTGATCATTCTATAATACACAATTTAAGCCTGGGGGAGAAATGCTAACGCTAGCATCGACGATCGCCGATCTTTTCTACTTCATGCTATCGGCACAAATGGTTGACATTACACATTAAAAAGACCAGGCCGTTCAGAGAGAATCAAAGGAAGGCAGGCAGGCAGCTTTGCATGACATTCTTCTGGACGTGTTTCATTGTGGTGATAGTGAGGGTAGTCAATCGTTTTGTTGACAAGACAGTAGTGACGGCCATCTTGGTGACGTGTGTTGTTCTGCGAGACCAGAGATGTAGTTAATTGAGGCGGAAGTAGATGGGCGTGACTTCACCACGTAATTACATACACGCTATATCGCCCCCCTTGACGAGTAGCATGAAGCTGCAGCGTCGGAGACAGCAGTTACAGGACCGCACTTGTAGAACCGCACACACAGGTCCGACGGAGCACGTGACGGAGCACGTTCACATGAACGCTTGAAGCCCCTCAATGCAGTGCGCAATCTAACCCTTCCCTTCCCTTCCCCCCATCCTAACCCTAAC